AGAAAGAAAGAAAGAAAGAAAGAAAGAAAGAAAGAAAGAAAGAAAGAAAGAAAGAAAGAAAGAAAGAAAGAAAGAAAGAAAGAAAGAAAGAAAAGAAAGAAAGAAAGAGAAAAAGATAAATGGGAGATGGCGAGGAGGAGGTCAAAGAGAATGAGGACTAAGAAGAAGAGTAAGAAGATTTGAGTCACACAAAAAGACAAGATAAAGCAGAAGGAATAGGAAGGACAACTGCGACAAGGAAAAGGACGATGAAAAGGAGGAAGACGACGACAGAAAGGGGGAAAGGGGACGAAGGAACGAAAGGAGACGCAGGAAAAGCTGCAGCAAACATGAAGATGATGACGGTGACGATACTGGAGATATGAAGCTAAGAGAGGGTGTGATAAACAGAGAGAGGAAGTTACACTATTCAAGGACAAGCGGATGAGAAAGCAGAAAACAACCAACCAAGAACAGATGGCAGGCACAAACAGGGCTGGCGAAGGGCACCGACTGCCTCTGCCACCCACGCAATTGTTTCTTTGTCGTCCTACTCCTAGCCTCGCCCATCTCTCTCTCTCTCTCTCTCTCCCTCTCTCTCTCTCTCTCTCTCTCTCTCTCTCTCTCTCTCTCTCTCTCCCCTGTAAACGTCTGCTGTAGCCGGTCGTGGCCTTACCTAAACAAGGCAGACGAACTGGTTACGTGTGGTTAATTATGTCACCGGGGATTTGGGTGAACCTGCAAGCTACTGCAAGGAGGGAGAGGTCGAAGGCAGAAAAGCGGAAGGAAAAAGGGGGTAACTGGAGGTAATTGGTAGAAGGTGAGAGAGGAGATACATAACAGACTGAACAAGGTAGCGAAGGTGAAGTGATGTCAGACGAGGCAGGGTTAGTGTGGAACCTCAACAACAACAACAACAACAACAACAACAACAACAACAACAAAGTAAAGAAAATAGTCGCGAGAGTCGGAAAGTGACGAGAAAAACAAAAAGGGCCAGAGAAGGCTGGGGAATGGCGGGGGGGGGGGGGGGGGGGGAGGGGGGGGGGGAGGGAGTGAGTGAGAGAGTGACAGGAAGATTAGCATATGCGAATGTGGAATGACAGAGTAAGATGAGTGTGAGAAAGATGATGAGATAGGATGGGGATGGAGCGAGTGAGTTGAAAGCTATATAGAAAGGGGTGAGGCGAACAGAAGAGTCAGACCCAAAGACAGATGTTTAGACAAAGAAGATTTAAACAGACAGACAGACATACAGACAGACAGACAGACAGACAGACAGACAGACAGACAGACAGACAGACAGACAGACAGACAGACAGACAGACAGACAGACAGACAGAGATAGATAGATAGATAGATAGACAGATAGACAGACAGATAGATAGATAGATAGATAGATAGATAGATAGATAGATAGATAGATAGATAGATAGATAGATAGATAGATAGATAGATAGATAGATAGATAGATAGATAGATAGATAGATAGATAGATAGATAGATAGATAGATAGATAGATAGATAGATAGATAGATAGATAGATAGATAGATAGATAGCAGATAGATAGATAGATAGATAGATAGATAAAGATAGATAGATAGATGATAGATAGAAGATAGATAGATTTAGTATAGATAGGCTCTGACCGAGATATCTATGGAGGAAGGTAGGTAAGAAAAGATACGATGGATAAATGAACGGTTGGGAGCGGGCTCTGACCGATCATCTATGGATAAGTGAACGGTTGGGAGCGGGCTCTGACCGATCATCTATGGATAAGTGAACGGTTGGGAGCGGGCTCTGACCGATCATCTATGGATAAGTGAACGGTTGGGAGCGGGCTCTGACCGATCATCTAAGTGAACGGTTGGGAGCGGGCTCTGACCGATCTAGGATAAGTGAACGGTTGGGAGCGTTCTCTGACCGATCATCTATGGATAAGTGAACGGTTGGGAGCGGGCTCTGACCGATCATCTATGGATAAGTGAACGGTTGGGAGCGGGCTCTGACCGATCATCTATGGATAAGTGAACGGTTGGGAGCGGGCTCTGACCGATCATCTATGGATAAGTGAACGGTTGGGAGCGGGCTCTGACCGATCATCTATGGATAAGTGAACGGTTGGGAGCGGGCTCTGACCGATCATCTATGGATAAGTGAACGGTTGGGAGCGTTCTCTGACCGATCATCTATGGATAAGCTATAACGAAGGTTCAACAGAGTGCTGGCATCTACTAACAATGAACCTGAAACCAGCACGTAAAGGCAAAACACAAGCAAAGGGCAGCGGGCGTGTGTGAACCAGTGTGCTAACCTTTCCAATAGTGTCATGTGCTAGAACCCCATTCGCCTACTTCCCTAGAAAACCTATGCCCTATCCTGCCGTTCCTTTCCTCCAATCTAGACCGCCCCCCCCCCCCCCCCCCCACCCCTTTTCCACTATCCCCACAGACAACGATCTGGGAGTCATCTCTCGGGGTCAGTTGTGTTTGCACCAACTGAGGAAAACTGGCTTCTCGAAACGCTAGCTTGCTTGGGAAACGGGCGTCGCGATACACTGGTTGTGGTTTGTGAATGGAAAGTGCCGGCTTCGTTCATTATCATTATGTGTGACTGGTTTGTTTGCTGATAAAGGCTCCCTAGTAGCAATATTCATTATATCATTTAGGATTGCACTTTTTTGGAAGTTGACTTGCTTTACGTTTCGATATTTGCTTTCTTGAGAAAGAGAAGGCGTGTTTGGGGAAAAAAAAAGGGGGGGGGGTGGGGGTGGGGAAGAAGCAGTAGCAGAAGGCGAAGAAAATTAGTAGTAAACAGCAGTATTAGTAGCAGCAGACGCAGCAGCAGCAATAGTAAACAACTCTAACAAAACACAAACACACACACCCACTCGTAACCAGAATAGCATCAGCTTGTATATTAATAATACAGGTGCACTACAGAAAATCGCCTATACTAGGGAGCTCCTGCACTTATCTGAGATTCTCCTAGTCTGATTTTGCTGTGAACCTGTCAATCAATCAGGACACACCACAGCCCCTGGCTCGAATCACCAAGCTGACTACCAGCTTTACGCCTTCCCTCGATGATACACCTCGAAGTAGATAGAGGCCAGCAACTACACGGGATCAATGCAACGATCCCTCGTTTGCAGCAAGTGTTGCACTTGCTGATGTCTTTATTGAGTGGCAGTGCATGCTACGAAAAATACAAACGTTTTCTCAGTATAAGTAATTGACCATTTTCCACGACGTTAGGCGTAGTGGGGATAGAGGGCTAAACCCACAGAACACTGTCTCGGGCTGAAGGTAACAAACAGACATCTCCCCCAGACTACTCTGTCTTAGGCTGAAGGTAACAAACAAGAATTTCCCAGACTACTCTGTCTTAGGCTGAAGGTAACAAACAAGCATTTCCCAGACTACTCTGTCTTAGGCTGGAAGTAACAAACAGGCATCCCCCAGACTGCTCTGTAATAGGCTGAGGGTTAAAAAACAAGCATTTTTTTCCAGAACACCGTCTTAAGCTGAATGTAATAAACAGGCATATTCCCCAGTCTACTCTGTCTTAAGCTAAATGTAATAAACAGGCACCCCCCCCCCCCCCCAGACTACTATGTCTTAGGCTGAAGGTAACAAACAGGCATCTCTCCCAGAACACTGTTTTAGGCTGAAGGAAACAGACAGACATCTTTTCCAGAACATTCTTAGCCTGAAGGTAACAAACAGGTATCTCTCCCAGAACATTCTTAGCCTGAAGGTAACAAACAGGTATCTCTCCCAGAACATTCTTAGCCTGAAGGTAACAAACAGGTATCTCTCCCAGAACATTCTTAGCCTGAAGGTAACAAACAGGTATCTCTCCCAGAACATTCTTAGCCTGAAGGTAACAAACAGGTATCTCTCCCAGAACATTCTTAGCCTGAAGGTAACAAACAGGTATCTCTCCCAGAACATTCTTAGCCTGAAGGTAACAAACAGGTATCTTTCCCAGAACATTCTTAGCCTGAAGGTAACAAACAGGTATCTCTCCCAGAACATTCTTAGCCTGAAGGTAACAAACAGGTATCTCTCCCAGAACATTCTTAGCCTGAAGGTAACAAACAGGTATCTCTCCCAGAACATTCTTAGCCTGAAGGTAACAAACAGGTATCTCTCCCAGAACATTCTTAGCCTGAAGGTAACAAACAGGTATCTCTCCCAGAACATTCTTAGCCTGAAGGTAACAAACAGGTATCTCTCCCAGAACATTCTTAGCCTGAAGGTAACAAACAGGTATCTCTCCCAGAACATTCTTAGCCTGAAGGTAACAAACAGGTATCTCTCCCAGAACATTCTTAGCCTGAAGGTAACAAACAGGTATCTCTCCCAGAACATTCTTAGCCTGAAGGTAACAAACAGGTATCTCTCCCAGAACATTCTTAGCCTGAAGGTAACAAACAGGTATCTCTCACAGAACACTCTTAGGCTGAAGGTAACAAACAGGCATCTCTCCAGGAACACTGTCTTAGGCTGCAAGTTACAAACAGGCATCTCTCCCAGAACACTCTTAGGCTTAAGGTAACATACAGGCATCTTTCCCAGAACACTCTTAGGCTGAAGGTAACAAACAGGCATCTCTCCCAGAACACTCTTAGGCTGAAGGTAACAAACAGGCATCTCTCCCAGAACACTCTTAGGCTGAAGGTAACAAACAGGCATCTCTCCCAGAACACTCTTAGGCTTAAGGTAACAAACAGGCATCTCTCCCAGAACACTCTTAGGCTGAAGGTAACAAACAGGCATCTCTCCCAGAACACTGACTTGGTCTGAAGGTAACATACAGGCATCTTTCCCAAAACACTCTTGTCTTCGGCTGAAGGTAACAAACTGGCGTGTCTCCTAGAACACTAATACTTATGATTGAGGTAACACATAGGCGTGTCTCCCAGAACTCCCTGTATTAGGGAGAACGTCACAACAGGAATCTCGACCACAACTCACTGTTAGAAGGACATAAAACAGACTACCATACTTACCAAGGCACCCATCAGACAGGTCCGAGATTGAGGGGACTTTCTGCATGCTTGGCACGCGCCTGTCATCTTTGTCGTTGTTGTAGCCCGTGGACGGGATGTAGCGTTCGCTGTCTATGTCCTGAGTTCGATTCTCAAAAATTAAAGGTGTCACTCCCCTCAGATCGTTTTCTGATGAGGGAATCTGTGGAATTTTTTTAAAAATAAAGGTTTAGTTTATAAACATTAAACACATATGTGTACACACCGTCAATTTAAAAACACTAAATACACATGTGTACACTTTGTCAGTTTAAAAAGCAAGAAATACGAGGGGAAGTCTGTGGCTTCGTAACGCCAGGGTGCTGGGTTCGTCTCAGCTGAGGACATTGCCCGGGTTTCGACAGTGGTATCGAGAAGCCGACCGTCCAGGAAGCAATGGCAAACTACTGGACGTAAATTTGCCTAGAAAAACCACAACAGCCAAAATATGCTGGGGTTGGTTCTGCAACGTCCTGTAAAGGATACGCAGCTAACACCGAGGGAAAGTCAATAAGTAAAGGCAATCGTGTCCTAGTCTACATAGAAGAGTATTCAGAAGAGAAAAATATTTCTTCAGCACTCAGAATGACTCCTTTGTAATACCCAAAGTACAAGTCGTAACGATTATTAAGCAGTAAGCGCATGCACAACAGCTCGTACAAGATGTCCGCAGCACTGTTAACATACACAGTGAAAGAGCAACCAGGATGTTAATCCGTGTGAATTCTATCGAAGAATGAAGGATGTTAATCCGTGTGAATTCTATCGAAGAATGAAGTGTCAATACGGGGACAACTGTTCGTGGCTGAGGAAAGTGTATGAATGGGTTGACAGATTTATAAAACGGACGGGATAACGTCGGTGATGAAAAATGGAATTGGAGACCTGTTAGCCTGGCAAATGAAACAGCAGACAGAGCAGCGAATCCGCGATAACATACGAGTCATGAAACAGCAGACAGAGCAGCGAATCCGCGATAACATACGAGTCATGAAACAGCAGACAGAGCAGCAAATCCGCGATAACATACGAGTCATGAAACAGCAGACTGTGCAGCGAATCCGCGATAACATATGAGTCATGAAACAGCAGATAGAGCAGCGAATCCGCGATAACATACGAGTCATGAAACAGCAGACAGGGCATCGAATCCGCGATAACATACGAGTCATGAAACAGCAGACAGAGCAGCGAATCCGCGAAAACATACGAGTCACGAAACAGCAGACAGGGCAGCGAATCCGCGATAACATACGAGTCATGAAACAGCAGACACGGCAGCGAATCCGCGATAACATACGAGTCACGAAACAGCAGACAGGGCAGCGAATCCGCGATAACATACGAGTCATGAAACAGGAGACACGGCAGAGAATCCGCGATAACATACGAGTCATGAAACAGCAAACACGGCAGAGAATCCGCGATAACATACGAGTCATGAAACAGCAGACTGTGCAGCGAATCCGCGATAACATTTAAAAAAATATAGTAACTTTTAAAAGTAAAGATCCCTGTTCACGCCTTTAGGTCATCGGGCATATGGGAAGACCGTCCCATATTGTTATAGACCAATCGGCACAAGATGGGTAAATGTGATCAGCATTACGGAAGCCGTCTTTACTTCCACAGGACAGCCATCCTGGTACCAATATTAGGCTGTGTCGACCTGCGACGTCCCATACCATGATAAAAATCTACGCAGTCAGCAGTGGGTTTCGATCGCGGCAAGTTAGAATTACGAGTCGGACTCGCAATGCCTAAGCCACGGAGGCCGCACATAGGTAATGGTGCTGCATTAAAAAAATATTAATGGCGACTGTGGGTATAGAAAAGTAGGCTATCCTCCGAATAACGGGCACATATTATGGCGGCCGCACAAATACCCTAACAGAGCCTCAGTCACGTGTCAATTGCGCACTTCCGGCGAATACCGCCACCGCCGAGAGTATCCCCCACGCCGCTCACGCAGGCGTGGATTGGGGCTAAACTAGATGGCTGGGTCTCACGAGCAGCAGCTTACGCATCTCCTTCAGACACATTTATTTCTCTGGTAACTTTGTTTTTTACTATCCGGTTTAGAGCTGTAGACCGTAATGGCCGCAAAGCTTTTCTCCATCGAACTTTGGCAGAGGATAAGTTTTGGGTGCACCAGTATTGACCAGAGAGTACGAGACAATCGATGCACTAGAAGCACCCGGCCTCAACGAAATGAAAAATATTCAAAACACAGGCTTCAGCTGGGAAGGTCATACTGACCGTCTTTTGGGATATCAATTGCGCTATATTGTCACATTTCCATGAAATGGGTGAAAGTGACTAGTGCTTGTTAACAGTGACAGGTTAGCGAACAAGCTAAAACTTCCGGTCAAAACGCCGGGGTCTTCTCTCAAAAGGAGTTGAGTTGCTGGTTGAAAACGCCCGCCTTCATGCGGCTGCGCATTCAGTGGATACACTACAGAGAGTATAAAGTATTGAAACATCCAGCATACAGGGGATTTACTACAGACGGTATGAAGTATTGAAACATCCAGCATACAACCCAGATTTGGCGCAAAATGAAATTGATACGGCTTAATTCTTACAACAGCGAAAAACATAAAATCCATTTTATAATTGAAATCAGGACGTGGATAGATAAATATCAATGGGCGGGAAAACCTGACAGCCACGTATATCTTCCTTTTCTAATCAGGCGATAAGGATGTTCATTGTGATGTCTTGATGTCCACTATAGTAGTAGCGCCAGAACTTGAAGGCTCAAACACACTGAGGCCCCTCTTCCAACAAATATTTAGAGGTGGGGGAGGGCCGCATCCTCCACCCACCCTATTGTCAACGGGCTCAGCTGCGCGGCCCCTTTATCAGCTATGCATTATTGCTCTGTTTTAAAATTATCATTTCGTGCTTTATTTATTTTTTAAAATACATTTTGTGGGGGATTCATGGCATTATCATTATCATTATTATTATTATCATCATCATTATTACTAAGCATTTTAATACGACTCAAGTAATTGAGAATCCCCCCCCCACACACACACACACACACACACACCCAGCACCCACACACATGCACACTAAAACATTTGTATGCTGACTGATCCCTCTGCCTCATTGTTCGGTTTCTCACGTCGAAGTTCGGATATTTGTATCAGCCAGTCATTGCATTCACCTTAAACATCAATCGAAGCATCCAACTTTAAAAGGACTTAAATCGACATATTTCACTTCAAAACGAAATTATTCCACACAATGCCACTTGATAGCATTATTCGGTACTAAAGTACTAAAGTTACAGCCATGACGCAAGAAAATCAGGAAAGTTAACTCTGTCACAGAGAAGAATTCAGTTACAACACTGTCACAGTAAAGAAGTTACCATTCCGACCCAGAGAAGTAAACAAGTTACGACTCTGACACAGAGAAGTAAAGGAGTTACCACTCTGACACAGAGAAGTAATCAAGTTGAAACTCTTCACGCAGACAAGTAATAAAGTAACGACTCTGACAGAGAGAAGTCTCCAGGCTTGAGAGCCCAGCGTTAACTGTTCGGCCATCAACTCCTCCAGCTGCTACATTTTTTAATATGTTGTAACTGTAACATCATTTCTCTCATAGTCGTAACTTAGTTCCCCAATATGTTAGAGTTGTAACTTCGGCAATTCTTTTTGTTTGAGTTGTAACGTCAGTTTATTTTCTGTGTGTTACAAATGTGACTTATTTTAAACTTATTTTTTGTGTTGTAACCACTTCCTTCGTGTGTTTAAAGCTGTAACTTCAATTCTTCCCTGTATACGTTAGAGAAGTTACGCGCAGAACGTAAGCTCTGTGGACAACTGAACGAATTAAAAACGACAGTGACATTTATACGAGAGACAAAACTGCTAATGCAGACAACTTAAATCTGGTGTTCCACTGTTGTTCTGTCTGGCCAAAAGGTCTGCCCTGGAGTACATGTTCTGCTGTCTCGGGCCCCTTTACGCAGGTGCACATGGCTGATACGCCGACCTTGAACTGTTTATTCACGTGATTATGTAATGAATTCTGCATTGTTCTGACTTATTCTGATCTGTCCATAATAAAATAGTTGTCGTGCGCTTAAGCTGGTGGTTTCTTGGTCAATTTGATGATCCTTTTCTTTTGGTAAACAGGGCTGCATGGTCTCGAGGCATGGTATCCGCCTTGAGTGCTAGAGGTTTCGAGTTCAATCCCCGGTAAGGGCTAGGATTTTTATCACGTGGATTTGGATTTCTAGTAATTCCTAATGCTCTCCGGGTAGTGAGATCAGACGCTCGTGTGCATTGCTGCGCACGTGAAAAATCCTCTTGGCAGTTGAAAATCGAAAAGAGTAGCCTAACGGCGCTGTCCATGCAAAATTTGTAGTTAAAAATCTATCCAAAGTATTTCAGGATCCTCGTCAGTGCTACAGGGCCTGTGCAATGTGTTGAGCTTCTTCGGACTCAGACCTGAGTTAGGAGAAGATTGGAGCGCTTATGGGTTATTACCCGGGTGTCATTATGTTGATCCGTTGTTCAAACCTTTCTTTTGGTGACTGATAACTGGTACATCCGGCTGCTCTTTTCCCTGTCAACTGATCAGCTTTCTCCTTTCCAGGCTCTCCACAATAGGGCCAGGGTTGCCATATTGGCATTTTTTATGCTAGATTCCACAAATTTGGCATAATTAAAATTGAACTGGCATAAGATAATGAACTGGCATATTTGGGTGTTTCTTGTCTTTTCTTATCAAGATGTGCTCACTTTTTCTTCATGTTTCCTCCGTTAGAAACACGCAGATTTACTAAAACACCAATGACTCCTAGGCAAAGTAATGATAAAGTTAAAAACAGCAGCAGAGAGAAGATAGAATGAGAGAATTGTTGCCGATTGGCCAGTGGCGGGAAAGGCACTACTGGTGCGCACTTGATATAATGAACGAATGTGGTCCATAATTAGCCAAATATTCAGGCCAGAATTCTGAATTTGGAAAATTAAACGATGTTACAGAAGTAGATGACACGATGGTTTTTGAATAAATGTAGAATTATGTACACGAATAAGTGTAGAGGTTTGTATCGGGAAAAAAGACATTTCCCGAAAATAAGTCCTAGTGCCTTTTTTTAAGTAAACACAAATATAAGACCTTGAGCGGAGCTCAAGAAATTTAAAAAAAATTCATTGCAGTTTGTTACATGCAGTAGTATTTAAACACTTAAAACACAACAAAGAATCAAGTGGCTGGGCGAATAGAGCACACAGTTTAGCACAACGAAACCGGTTCAAGCGTCACCTGATAAAGATGATTACCAGAGGCAAACCAATCTCTGAATCTCCCTCCTAACATGAGTACTGAAATGTCGTCTGCTGACACATTCCGCGACCTTCTATTGGCAGTGTTTAACCTCTCTCCCTAGCCACTTGAGATCTCCCTTCCCGCAGCACTTTGATTCCCTCGCAGAATTAAAACATCATTATCCAAAACATCAGAGCTATCGAAACTTTTCACGAAAGTGGCCCTTTCCAGGCAAGCAATTTCGCGACAGTAATTCAGTGCACTGCAAACCGGAGGTTGGAATAATCCCGTATAAGAGACATGCACATATACATAAATTACTTTCGTGCGACACACACTAACACACCAAATTGCTGCAATACAGTTTGGAAAGCTCTGCTTTAAATAATGAATTCTCAGAAAAGACTATACTGGGTGGCATTTTTAGTTTTCACCGTATCATGCAACTCGCGCCTCTCTCTTCCACTTTCTTCTCATCCTTCAAGTTGCAATCGTTATCCCTTTCTTGCTTTTCTATACTTATTATCCTCTTCTGTTATTTTGTCTCGGCGTCTGGCATAAATATAGGATAACAACAACTTATTTTGCGTTTTTATTTCAGTCTTAGCGCTTGTGTCCTTCACATTTCCAATATACAACACACATTTCTACAACTCCACAATTCTAAATGCGGCGCCAAATTGCCCGGTGTTGAGCTAAACTCAGATACCTATTTCAGTTATTCCCCTACTGTTACAATACACCAGTTCCGCAGCGGGTGTCAGCATTATCACGAGTTGGCATCGTTGAAAACAGCAATTTGATCTAAATTTGACATCGTCCTTGTCTCTGTACATCTACAGGCTGTTATCATTTGGTCGTTATAGTCAGATTTGTCTTATTTTTAGACATCGCCTCGTACGATGACTTATGTCACCGGTTGTTGGCAAGGTCTTATTATATCTACCAGCAATTATTCACAGAACTTTGCTTGCGAGGAGGATTTGGGAAATTTAACAGAAATATTTACGTGAGACGGGGGGGGGGGGGGGGGGGGGGGTTTGAATCAAGCGAATATTTTGTTCAAAGGGGAGGGGTTGGGGGTGAGACTGAGGATTGATCCTGTGTAACTGATTCTCAGATGCAACACTGGTCACCCGTGGCGAAATAGTCAGGCGGTATGCCTCACGCTCCGAAGGTCGTGGGTTCGTGTCACGGCTGCATCGTTCGGTTTAAATGTGCATTTTTTTAAAACTGATATCCATAGGGAACGTCACCGGACCTATGTGGTTTATGCTTTGTGCGACGCTCTCGGCACGCAGCTAGCCGTTCGAAGGAGACAGACTTGAGTCATACGGGGTACAGCCAGGTGCAATGAAATAAATCGTCTCCACTGTAATGTCAATTCTTAAAACTGGGTTAATTTGGATAACTACTATCTCCCACCTTCTTTCTTCCAACCCCTTCTCCTGCTCCTGCTGGTGTTAGAACAATAATAGATGTTCCTGCTGAAACTACAACCACCACTACTACTACTACCACTACTACTACTACTACTACTACTACTACTACTACTACTACTACTACTACTACTACTACTACTACTGATGCTGCTGCTATTATTGCTACTACTAATGTTACTAGTACTAACTCCTCCTCTTCTTCTTCTTCTTTTTCTACTACTACTACTACTACTACTACTACTACTACTACTACTACTACTACTACTACTACTACTACTACTACTACTACTACTACTACTACTACTACTACTACTACTACTACTACTACTTCTACTGCTGCTACTTCTAATAGTAGAAGCAGCAGCAGTGGCGGTAGAGGTGGCGATGGTAGTAGTAGAAATAGCGATACACATTCCGTTTAAGTAACCTTCTGGACACAGCTTGGTAATGTAACATACTGGGTACCGTCTGATGAAGTAACAACTCGAGTAATGTTCGTTACAGTGATAGATAATAAAGACTTTCAAATAAAAAAAAAAATTTAAAAAATTGCACAAAGCCTATTAAAGTGACATAAATCTTCATAAATCTAATTGGAGCAACAATCTAGGTACACCCTATAGAAGTAACAACTTTGGTACAACCTGTTAAAGTAACAACTCTTGTACAGCTTGTTAAGGTAAGAACTTTGGTGAGTCTGTTAAAGTAACAAGGTGACCACAGCGCGTCAGAGTAACAACTCTGGTACAGCCCGTTAAAGTAACAACATTGGTACAGCCAGTTGAAGTAACAACTTTAGTAAGTCTGTTGGTGTAACAACTTTAGTAAGTCTGTTAAAGTAATAACTTTAGTAAGTCTGTTAAAGTAACAACTTTAGTAAGTCTGTTAAAGTAACAACTATAGTAAGTCTGTTAGAGTAACAACTTTTGTAAGTCTGTTAAAGTAACAACTTTAGTAAGTCTGTTAAAGTAAGAAGGTAACTACCGCCCGTTGGTTTACAACTTTGGTACAGCCTGCTGAATTAACAACTCTCTAAGACAGTGGTTCTCAACCTGTGGGTCGCGAACCTTTTTTGGGGTCGAACGACCCTTTCATAGGGGGTAGCCAAAGACCATCGCGAAACACACATTTAGTGAAGTTATGAAGTAGCAAGGAAAATAACTGCATGGCTGGATATCGCCACAACATGAGGAACTGTATTAAAGTGTGGCCAAATAAGGTCAAAACTATTTGCAGTGAATGAGTGTACTCCTAATACAACTACCTAAAAGCAAAGCAGTGTTCTTCAAGCTATTTACACCCATGGAACAGACAGCAAAGCAAAGCAAATTTGCTTCGCGGACCATCTGAGAGGTTGAACAAAGAAAAAACTATAGTTTATTTGTTAAATCCAGAGTTATAAAATAACAATTTTCGGCCCATGCGGCATTCTTCAGGTTACATTCCATGCCGCATGGTGTTGGTAGTTTTTTTTTTTTTATTGACAACTTGGCATCTCGTGTACTTTAAATCCGTTCTGACACAGATGATTTTCCATGCCATGATGCCAAACTGTTCAGCATCTTCTCTCTGGATCTCCCTCTGCCTCCAAACGTTTCCCAGTCACGTTACACCCAGTTTTCTCCTTCTTATGACAAGATCAGATAATATAGATTGACTCTAACGGCGCTGTATTTCAGGATCCTGGCCGGTGCTACAGAGCCTGTGCACTGTGCTGAGCTTTTTCACTCAGACTTGAGTTAGAAGAAGAACGGAGCACTTCTGGGCTTCTACCTGTTGCCATAATGTTGATTTGTTGTTCAAACCTCAAACCTTAAACCTCAAACCTTAAACCTTAAACCTCAAACCTTAAACCTCAAACCTTAAACCTCAAACCTTAAACCTCAAACCTTAAACCTCAAACCTTAAACCTCAAACCTTAAACCTCAAACCTTAAACCTCAAACCTTAAACCTTAAACCTCAAACCTTAAACCTCAAACCTTAAACCTCAAACCTCCTTTACTGTGGGCAGTCAGTTCTCTTCATGAGCCAGTTTCTTTCTAGACATCTTTATTACAATTTTTATCCCTCTAGGGTATTCTCATCACCCGTCTTTAAGACCACATCGCCGCCCCAGATAATTTTTCACTAATGTCCGTGATTTAAACGTTTAAGGTTAAAGGTTTCGGGGTTTCGGGGTTTTATGCCAAATGGCTCGATATCTTTCCGCATAACGGCTAGCCAGCTGCCGAGAGCGCCGTACAAAGCACGAACTCTACAGCTCCAGTTACGACCATCAGGTATCCTCATATTTATCTCACTGGTGAACCGAACGACTACCAGAGCGCGAGGCAAACGGCTTGACCACTTCGCCACAGAGTCTCCCTGTCTATGACTAGAGACCCCTGAGTACAAGTCAGACAATCTTTGCAGTAATCTAGAGCCCAAATCAAACCGCTGCTTCATCATTAAGCAGAAATGTGTGGGGCATTACAAGCACCTTCACATTCATTACAATAGAATCCGCGAGCACCAAGTTGAAGAACACTGATATACACAGTTAAAGCAGAAACAAGGATTGATAACCTTCTGTAGCAAACACGATTCATTCACAAGTGGTTAGATAAGGGAGAGATAAAAGTGGGAAGGAAAATAACGAGGCAGCAGTCTCGACTACTGTGGGTTTAGATAGACCTGCATGCGAATAACAGGAAACGATAAACAGCCGTAAGGTTAGTCACTGTTCTTAGATAACTATTGTGTTTGTAACGGTTCTCGTGTTGTTTAATTCCTGTCTGACATGACCTCTCTGACAGGACATAGAAATAGAGCTCCCCGTGTGGGTTCTAGGGCTCCATTATTCGGGAATATATGAAAAGACCCACTGCCTCGCCAAGAAGCATGTCGTAAGAGTCGACTAAGTGGGTGCATCCTTCGAAGTCGGAGTACATATATCTGAGAGGCAAGGAACATAGACTCTGCAAACAGATAAACCAGAACTGTGAAACGGATTTGCACGCAACACTCAGGTTCTGGAACAAGAAAAAAGCCCGGATGAACACCTAGAACTTTCCCTGAAGTTTATAGCCGGCGAACGAGAAGAAGAAGAAGAAGAAGAAGAAGAAGAAGAAGAAGAAGAAGAAGAAGAAGAAGAAGAAGAAGAAGAAGAAGAAGAAGAAGAAGAAGAAATACCGCAGGAGAGAGGCACAGATATAAACATGCCGATGGCTTCACCGTATGCATAAGGCAAGGCAAGGACACTGATTTCATCCGTGATTCTGGTAATCGTGTGAGACGGCGAAACATGGCAGCTATGCCTTTCGACATGGCACATGATGATGATAACAAATAATTAAGGATTAACGCTAAATGACCCAAAGAGGCACAATTCGGTTGAGAATCCAACAGGAACACATCCCATCAGCCCTGCTCAGCAACGTTAGACAGTTAGGGCTCCCAGCGATTGCTATAGTCCAGTCTGGGGAAATAGGGTGTTTTGAAAAACACATTCACTAGCAAAACTCATCAAAGTCGCCTAAATATAATTCTGACGATGCTTAAGTGTATTTTCAGGACTACTATTTATCACTTTACAATATGCTATAAGGACACGTTAATTCCTGGTTCAAATCGATCAGAATGAAGTATACCTTTAAAGCCATTATTACAATTTTAACTGCTTCACGCAAACTGAATATGTTTAAGTACCTGGGTGCCCTGTTAACAGACGAACGAACGGACGAACTTTTTTTCTTCAAAGAATCACAAAATTAGGCACGTAGGCCCGTCTTTCATTCGGCCCAATGAAACGCCCATCTTTTACACAGCAGTTGTATTTTATCAATTTTATCAATAAAGCATGTTATAATAAAATGCATATTATAAATATCAAGTCAAAAGGAGATAGAAGAAGTTTGAAAGAAGTTAAATGTTGACTAGGTCAAGCAAAGGCAGTATTTTACAAACTAAAGAATATTTTATGCAATCTTTCCTTGTCAATTGAGACGAGAAAGAGAATTCTTAACAGCTATATAAATCCCATCCTGATATACAGAAGTGAATCAGGGACAAATTTAGCAGAAATTATTTGGACGCTGCAGACATTTGATTTTATAGATGAATGAGGAGAACACACTGGACCGATAAAAAGATGTCTTGGAAGAAAGTAACTCAAGGATGTGGCACTTAGGTATTTACAAGTCTATGCCCCCACGGCACACGAACCAACCGTGGCACGCTGACGGATTGTCAATGGCACGCTGGGTAGATTAAAGTATGATTTATGATGTTTTTATATCTATATTATTATTAATTTAAACATTATTTCTTTTAAAGATCGAATATGTATTATTTTTAATAAAAATGTATTTAACATTTTACTCGGCTAGCATTGACGCCATGCAAAATTTTGTTGCAATACTTTAGCACGACACTGCTAAATGATTGCGGAGCTATTTTTGTTCAAGTGTATTTTTATTTCTCCCCCTTTTTTTTTGGGGGGGGGGGGGGGGGGGGTCAAACATAGAATATAACTGTCTTTTTCTTTTTCTTCTTCTCCTTTTTCCTCTTCTTCTTCTTCTTCTTCTTCTTCTTCTTCTTCTTTTTCTTCTTCTTCTTCTTCTTCTTCTTCTTCTTCTTCTTCTTCTTGTTCTTCTTCGTTGGCATCGATCCTTCTGTCAGAAATCTTTTACCAGGAGGTCAACAGACTGAAAGGTATATACAAAACGTTTCACCATATCACTACAGCCCTACTTCAATAAGAAGAACCTACCTTCCAGCGGATTTGAACCCAAGACCTTCGGAGCCAGCAGGAAAGTGTCTAGCCGTGGCGTTACCCCGACTCCCGGCAGCTAGGTGTGCCCTAATTGCGACTTCTTAGGAGGGTAATCTGGGATTCGTCCGTTTTATTTACGATCCAGGATGCCAGTCCCTGAGCGGCAGGGGGTGTCGATCTGTTGCTTTGCCGTTCAACCAGAAAAAACCATGAAGGGTAAGCTTTAGGTTGAAACTGTAACTAGGTTTTGTGCGCCAGATAAAATGGCTTAGCACTGCGCGCCACCAAGAGCCCTGAAAAGGACTCCTGGAGTGTTGATGCGATCAAAGGAGACAGACCAAAATACTATCCGGACCGGCGACGAACTCGTCTATCGCTAAGCGAATGAACAACTCAGTCGCCGATGATGCGGCAGGGGGTGACAGAACCGTCAAGTAGCAACTCAAGGGGGGTAAACAGGCAGATGGCAACTTTAGCTACTTGCGAAATAACTGCTGGATTTAGAGGGTACCCGAACACAGGCGCCGGAACCTAGGAGGTCATGTCCCACGAGGCCCCCCGCCCCCCAACTAGAAAATATTTAAGGGGGCTCAGAACGCCCCCCCCCCCATTTGTTTCAATGTGTTCTTTGTGTCTGCGCCCTTGGCAGCGTAAAAGTAGAATCAGCAACATTTGGTCATTTCGTAAGGGCGAGTTTGGCAGTGGGAGGCAATTCGGATCAAATGACTCAGACCCCTAGGACATGATCGTCAGCAGAAATGAGGCGCCATACATAATCGTCATCAGCGATGACTGGGTGTTCGCTTGCCGGCCATAAGGTTTGGGGTTAAGATCGGATGTCCGTGAGTATGGTTGCGCAAGTAAAAAATCCCCTGACAGTTGGAAATTGACGCCGCTACCTGAGCAAAATCTGGAGTTAAAAATCTTCCCCAAGTATTTCAAGATCCTCGACGGTGCTACGGAGTTCGTAAACATCGCTAAGATTTTCCGACTTAGGCTTGAATTAGAAGTAGAGCGGAGCACCGAAGGGCTACTACCCTTGTGCCAGGATGTTGATCAGTTGTACATACCAGCCAAACCACACCAAGGTCTGGGGTTTGAATCCCCATCGAGCAGAGTTAGTCTCAGTGACCTTGGCTCCCAGGTCGATTTAGACTGAAATTTGGTACCTGATATTGACATGAGAAGTTAAGGCGACAGGCGTGATGACTACAACCATACCACGGTGAAAATACGACTCTCATCCGATTATACAGGTCAAGCAACGTCGGTCGGGATTAGTACTACGACGGGTAACAGGTGTGATGTTCAACATATCATCCACCAAATGTTCTACAAAAATGTGAGACCTGTATAAAATGCTCGATGCGCCACTTGCATGAAATTGTGTGTTTACTTCTTTGTTGAATATACATACCCACCCCCCCCCCCCCAACCACGCTCTACAAGCTCTTTGTAGCTTCTGAAACAGTCTTGGTTTTAAGCAAGAGCTGGCAGCGTTAAACTGCAGAAAGACACCGGTGAGAGACTAGGGAATCCGCCTTCGTACTTACTAAGCAAACTGATTGGTAATGACTGGCAGTCATCGCAAGAAGTCTTATCTACACATGAACTTGGGGACACACAGCAACAACAGAAATAACGACGCAGTCATGACTATCATATCCACGACGATAAAACTCCTGCAGGGATATTTTCTCATGACACTAAAATTTAAAGGGCGCAGCAGAAAGCTTCTCCAACAAAATATGGGATGTTTTAATTGAACCTAGTCGACACTTCACCCAGTGAGCCCAATTTGTACACACATGGGGACGCAATTAGGGATGTGTTTTTCCAAGCTGGGATGCAGCTGTTAAGAGATGTGGAACAACCAACAGTCTGCACACACATATAGATCTATAAATAGGATGTGCACTCAAGATGTGTTCTTTAAAGCTGGAATGCAGCTGTTATGACATATGAAACAACCAACAGTCTGCACACACACAAATATAGATCTATAAAATGGATGTGCACGCATTATGGAAGTTTTGGAGTAAACCAAAATCTCAGAAGTGGACGAACAACCAAAATTTTTCGCCGAAGTTTACCAGCGGTTGCCGCACAACAGAAGAAAAAGACCAGAACATTATATTTGACCGGTCAAATCTTAAAGCAGCGGTTTTCCAAATGTGTGAATGTTAACAGTTCCCTTAGCACACTGATTATGCACATGTCGATCTCTACCTCTCATTTGTCCCTCCTTGCCGCATCCACACTGAGTTCCTTGTTCACACATTCTTGCACACGTTATTTCACCTGATCTCGTGTCTTCTGTAAACATTCATTCATATATGGTCCTCAGAATATCTCCTTTGACCGGTATGTGTGTTTCCGAGGTTATCACTTTCATAGCCAGAAAACCCGCTCCAAATAATGTCTAACGTCAAGTAATTCATTAACTGCACACTTAAAACATGCTTATCTAGTCAATTATTGCGTAAGCTACACAAGAACATCGTTAGCTAATTCGTAAACAGGACAAATGTAAAATTAATTCCTAAAATACTAACTAAACACATCAATGAACTCGTTAGCTAAATATTCCACACCTAAGCTAATTCGTACGTTAGATAATTACTCATGAAACTATTTCCTTAACCAAACATTTAACACATTTAAAGTCCAAATATTTCTGAAAATACACTAAAGA